CAGCAACAACCGCAACAACAACAACAACAACAACAACAACAACAACAGGTGCAACAGTCGCCACAAGTGCCGCCACTACCACCACCACCGCCACCACCGCCGCTACCACCACCAGCATCATCGTCGCAACAATCGCAACATCAACGCGGCAATAATATGAGCGCGGCTGGTACAGCAACGAGCAACAACGGTTTGTCGAGCAGCGGCACCATGACAAGCCATGGAACACACGTTGTAACGACACCCACCTCGGTTCCCTCGACTATGAACAGCGCGAACCACATGACCACCTTGACCCACAAATCGCCATCGCCGTTGTCTCACGGTATTCATAGCTCGAGAAACAAAGACAACGGCGCAATCGCGACCAGCACGACGGCGAACGCCTCCAACACGAGCGCCAGCAGTAACAACAGTAACAGCAACATCATCATCACCACCACTACCATCACTACCACCGCGATTACTATGGTCACCAGCACGAGCACGTTGGCTACAACTCAACCGGCTTTTGTCAGACCTTTCGAGGATTCCTTTCGCTCCTCGTCGAAGCCGCAGCAAAGGACTATCGTGAACAGTCACAATCACAGCATATCGAGTCAACTTTCTTCTTACCAAGAATCGTCGATAAAATCGGCCGCTACAACGACCACGTCCCAAACAATCGGGGGACAATTGTGTTACGACAACGCTGTCGTCGATAACGCGAAAAACGCGAATTCTCAGCAATCCCTGTCACATCCGATCCCCTATCCTCCTCAACAATTTCATCATCCCCATATACCCGTCTCGCACGTAGCCAATTTGTACAAACCGGCCCATTTTTCTTCTTCGTCGTCGTCGTCGTCATCGCAGCCTCATCAAGTCCACTCGCAGCCAAAGATTAACGTATCGTCGACCACGTTGACTACTAACAGCGGTGGTAATAGCGCGAGTAGCAACAACAGCGCCCCTATGGTCAGTAATACGAAACAAAGCGTGGTGCATCATGGGAACGAAAGTAATCAAACTACGGTGACAACGTCGGGCCAGCGGAACGAAATCTCGTCGTCGTTGTCGTCGTCGTCATCGTCTTCATCGTCATCGTCGTCGTCGTCGTCGTCGTCATCTTCGTCGCCCCCTTCGACCACGTCCAATCTCGTTAATTGCGTTTCCAGCGAGAAAATGGGTGGAAACGCGAGTTACAACAATATCGTGGCCGGGAATGGGAACAAAATCGCGAATCACGCGAATTCGCATCATAAAACCGGCATCTCGGATACGTCGACGAGGGAGTGCGGCAAGTTAGTTAACTCGTGTAACGAGAAGATGGAGAATCACGGGAAGCAAACGGCGGCGAGCCATCAGAATCACGTGGGAAAGAATTCGGTTGTTCAAGAGAAACCGTTGATCATCGCCCACTCGACGTACGAGCAACAAGGGAAAGGCCCGCCCCCTACTTTCCAACCAACGAACGTCAACTTCAATCTCGCCGAGAAGGAGATGAAACCTGAATCAGAGTCTAAGAGCGATCAGAACAACCTGTTGTCCACATTATCGTTTCAACCGAATTTTAAGTTCAGCATAAACGACATCGCGCAGAAGCCTATAGATACGAGCCAGTTGATGCAGAGCATCAAGTCTGAGGAAGTTTTGCGTACCTGTCAGAACGTGTCCAATGTTCTCCTACAGATACCAAAATACCAAGAGAAACTGTTGAATTTCTCTAACGAGCTGAAAACCGCATTTTGTTTCACCGACAAGTGCAATAATTTGACTGAGATTTCCGTGAAGTGCGAACCGGCGGTGTTAAATGTGCCTGACCTGAGCAAGGCTCTGGTCAAACAGGAGATAACCAGCGAAAAGTCTTTTCTTGTACCTGAGAAACCGAAAGAGTTGACGTCCTCGTTGGATCTTGCCGAAAGGAGAAGGAAAAGGAAACGGGAGAGGAATACAGGTCTTGCATGTAGTTCGGATTCGGAAGGCGAGGATGAAACGAAGGATGTGGATCTTTGGATCATCAAAGGTCCACCGGCCAAATTACAGTATTCTGAGAAGAAGCTCGCATTCCTCGCCATGTTCGGTCTAACCACTTTAAGTATGAGGAACGGTAAGAAATCTTCGTCACCCTTCATCGTTTGTTAATTTTTTTC